GGGACAAATGGAGACGTTACTGGGGCCCGCTCGAGCAAATCAACGACTAACGGGAAGTTAAGTGATTAAGTGATCATGTCCATTATCATGTCTTAATCACTCTCTCATACTTTGTAAAGTAACATATGTCTAGATTCATGAGATTCCATAGCAGGCTTAGAAATTAGAATTTTGGTGGCAGAGTTAGAATAACTAATATTTACGAAGAACTCAAGTACACTAGGAGACCAAGATACATATTTTAAGTTCTTATCTTACTGCTTTTATTTCCCCATCATCTACTATGAAACATCCATTGAATACTCAATTGATATTTGAGTGTGAAAAAAATTCTCATGTTTAATTATAGGTATGTTTACTTTATGGACTTTTCCTCTAGAGAGGAAGCATTCCTATCTTAAGGGAAGGTAATCATTACACTGAATTTTCTAATAATTGTATTTCCACTTCCAAGTCCCTACTTTAGCCTGGCCAAAGAACCCTAATGAAAACACACGAAGGATGCTCATTCATCAAGCAGGAAAGAGTGAACAATAAAAGATTATGAATTTAGAAGTAAGGCTTTGAGTTGCTCTCAGTGACAGAGAGATATGACTGAAGGAAGGCCTTCTCTGTGTAGCACTTAAACGATTTATTTCCCAGCAAACTGACTCTTCTGAAGCAAGTCATATGCAAAATCCCTAATTAATAGCTACATTGACACTTAAGTAGGATTCAGAGGGCACTCACTGATGGCATGTTTTTCCTTATCACTTTTCCCTCTTTCATAGTTATCCCAAGCAACAGACAGATCGAAGAAAGCAAAGTGATTAAAGATATGCAGATCTTATCCAGAATTTTCTTTTTTAAGTATTTCTCTGACTAATGGGGTTCCTTCATGAGAAAATAACACAGATTTTCTTCACAGCAGACTTTCCAAATAATTAAATGATGATAATACTATAACTTTGTTGACAAAGTAACTAAGAACAGAAGAAAATGCATGTGGGTGAGGCAGAGAAACTAGTACAGCAACCAAAGTGCTAGCTTTGCACCTGGCCTCGTTCAGTACTCTGCACATATTTCTCTGAGCACCACCAGAAGTGATTCCTGACCACTGCTGGGTGTGACCCTCAGAAATAAAACAACAGGAAACAAAATTCCCAGTGGTTTGAATCTGATAGTTCGGTGCTATGCTGGCACCTACTCAAACTACTCTCTCCTCATAAATATGCAGTTGTCTTGAAATCAGCCATGATGGAAGTATTTATACCATGAAATCCGCAAGCCTTACATATTCATAGTGTATTTTCACTCGAGAAAAAATATACACCCTTATCACCATCATTAGTTTAGAAGAAAAACATAATCTTTTCAGTCAGAAAATCTAAAAGAACATTGTGCCCAATACTTCTTACGGGACATGAAGGAAATATCCTGGACTTAAATGAGCTACTTCACAACCTGAGTGCAGAAATCATGGACTAACTCACCTTTCCATTCCCTTCACAACACCTCCTGGTCATATTACTGAACTGTGCTTCTAAAGGGGACAGAAATATGAATTCATCATTCGTATTTGCTGAGTATATTTTATTACATCCCCTTGAAACAATTTCAGGAGTTTACTACTCATCAGAGATTAATTTTAAAATTGACCTGTGCTGCCTTTAATAAATGATATCATTATGGTAAAACCATAAAACAATATTATTTTTAAAAAGGAAATGTAAAAAATAAGACAGGACCAGAACAATAAGAGATCGGGTATGGTGCTTGCTTTGCAGATGTCCAAGAGGGGTTCATCCCCAGTACCCACATATGGTTTCCCCAAGTAGTCCGGGAGTAATCACCGAGTACAGAGCCAGGACTAAGTCCTGAAAACCACTGGGCGTGGCCAAAACAAATATATATAACTAAATCAGACAGACAGGAGAAATAACTGCCTAGAAAATCTAATTAAGGTGACCTATAAATGCAAAAAAACTATCTCTGAGAATTTGGCAAGGTAAGACATAAGATGGAAATATAAGAGTCTGAGCTTCAGCAAAAGCAAATTTTCCCTTCAACTCGAATAAGACATTTTTCAAATCAGACATCAAATATCATAACACATAATGGCACAACGTGGTTATGATGCATTTGTGTTCTCATTTGGCTACCTAAACTGTAACTATTCAGATAATATTCTAAGGTATCTGCTGAAAGTTTAACATCAAAATGAAGACATCATACTGCTTTTGTTATTTTCTATAATTTTTCACTGGTTCACACCAGATTTTACAATAATTTTTGTCATCAGACTCAGCTTAGTACTTTGGGGGTTAATTTTAGAGTTCATTTAAAAATAATTTTTATTTTGTTTATTTATTTATTTTTTTGTGTGGAGGGGGTTTCTTTTTGGATCACACTCAGTGATGCACAGGAGTTACACCTGGTTCTATACTCATGAACTCAGGAATTACTCCTGGTGTTGCTCATGGGAACATAGGGGATATATCTCATACCTGACACCATTAATATTCAAAGAATAGTGCACATTTGATGGTGTTTAAAGTGAAAGGCAATCAATCTTAGAGGGATATATATTTTTACAGATATACACATATATGGACTAGAGTGATAGCACAGCGGGTAGGGAGTTTGCCTTGCACGCAGCCAACCCAGGTTTGATTCCTCCGTCCCTCTCGGAGAGGCTGGCAAACTATCTTGAGTATCCTGCCCACAAAGCAGATTCTGGCAAGCTCCAGACATGGCAAACAAGTCTCACAATGGAGACGTTACTGGTGCCCACTTGAGCAAATCGATGAACAATGGGAGGACAGTGCTACAATGCTATATACATATATATATATACATATGTATATATATATATATATCAGCACATAAGGCTCAACTCTCCTCTATGGAGACATTTTTGATCATTTTCAGTGGTTTTTCATAACAAACAATACAAAATAAATTATTTCAGCTCTGCTTTGGGTCAAGGGTTGAGGTTTGGGATGGAAACTCCTGAAATATGGTGATGGGGATGTGTAATGGTGGTGGTATTGCTATTCAAATATTTAATGTAATCAAATATTGTGAACTACTTTATAAAAATAAAATAACCTGTAGGGAGGAAATTAAAAAAAAAATAAGGCAGGGAAGATCCATGAGACTCACTGCTGGGATTCTTTCAGCAAGAAGGAAAAATATTGATATGTCAACAGCCCACGAAACCTAGCTCTCCAGCTCAGTGCTCTCACAGTCTGCCTTGCTCAGAACACAGAGGAAGGGCGAGCATTTGTTTGAGGAAACTTCTCCTCTGACCACACGAGTTATGGGTCCTAGATTGGCCAGGTCCAGAGAGAATGGTGTTCCTTCCGCTGGAGAGCCTTTCACTGGCTCTTTGAAGGCCATGACCTAGACTAAACAACTCACAGGGAACTCTTGCTTCACAAAGCAGTATGTTTGGTTGTGTGTGTGTGTGTGTGTGTGTGTGTGTGTGTGTGTGTGTGGTGGGGGAAGGGGGCAAAGGGGAGTCTCTAAACGGCAAAATCTTTGCTCTCATATTCATCCCAAGCACATATTCCTATTCATAATACACAAAGCACTCTGTAATTTGGGTGTTTGGGTGACACAAATTCATATTTTCCACCTAGCAGTCTTTGAAGTCCAAGAAACTAAACTGTCTATCCTCCAGCCCTCAATCTTTACTTGTCCAGATGAAACATACAATATTCTATTAGTGTGTTTTGTATTTTCAGAGACTCCAAAGAACTTCACAATGAGCCTAGAGGCATATAATATACATTATTATATATGCTACAACTCATTACATTTAATAGTTATCTATTGTTTTAATTATTTTATACCTAAAAGTATTTTTATATTACAGTTTTAAATTAATTTTTCTTAAATTGATTTTACTTTCCACGCCACACCTGGTGATGCTCAGGGCTTACTCCTGGCTCTACACTCTGAGATCACTCCCGGTGGGCTCAAATCCGGGGTACTGGGGATCAAACCCGGGTTAGCTGAGTGAAAAGCAAACACCTTATCTGCTTCAGCTGACAATGTGGTTTTTAAATGGTAGGCTATTTAAGGTGTAAAAAATGTTAAAAATGTATTAAACATAATTGAGTCTTTCTTTGATGTTTTGGAAAGTACGATCAAATCTCAGAAAGCATTAAAGTCACCTTTATGCTTGTACCTTTTATTGTAGCAAAGTTACCCACAAGTCGTAGTGGAGTGAATGTTCTGCCTTATGAAATAATGGGAGTTTTCTTTAGCAATAACCCAGGGCTATGTGATAGTTTATTTTTAAAATGTGTTCTCTCATATTACATCATTACTCAGTGCATTTTCATGCTTGCTTGCATGCTTTAACAGACATTCATAAGGTTTTAGTCATAGCACCAAATCTTATAGCACCAGAAAATAAAAGGGCAGTATTATTTGCAACCAAGTACAGAAAATCTGTATTCCCATTTAATTGTTTTTTCTTGTCAAAATACCATTTATCAAAAGAAGTGTTCAAAATTAAACAAAAAGATGAAAAGTGTTGGAAAAGTATGACGCCAAGAATAAGGATATGTAATATAAAATAGAGGTGTTGATGAGCCGACTCACACATTTCCCTTTTTAGTCTGAACAGCAAGGCAATTACTAGGTGTGATTACATTATATTTACTTCCTTTGTTTTATCACAGAGCAGGAACAGAGAGAAATAGCATTTAAACAAAACCTCGATATACTGCTAGGCTTTTAAAATATTTGGTCAGCTTATTTTCCCTTTCAATTTTTCACCTCTGACTCTGTCCTTCACCCATTCTCAGTAAGTAAAAGAATTTTCCAGACATTTAAAGAATTGAAAGAAACTCTCTCTATTGGGATTTCCTGGTAAGTGTCCAACCCACTTTGGCAACCAGAGTCACTCGAGGGTTCGAAAGGCATTGCTCTAAAGGGTCAGGAAATATCTCATCCTAGTCAAGCAGACAACAACCACAGTGACGAGCTCTTGGAGAAACTGAACTGACCTTCAACGGAGAGATGTGCGACTGCAGGACGTAGCCGTGGACATTCTCGATCTGGGACAGGTTCTTCTCTGACACATGCACAAGTTCAGGGCCCCTTACTTCGTGCGTCAGTCGAGGTAAGGAGTGATCATGTGGGGCATCCTCATCTTGATAGCGATACTTCTAGGAGAAAGGACCAGAAAGAAAAGAAGCATCAATGTTTGCAACAGGTACAATACTGAACTCCACCTTGTCACTTCACTTACTGGACGCGGTAGATACCTCTTGTTTATGTCCTCCTGTAACTCCTTTCTTTCATGATCACCACAAAGCAGGCAGAGGGTAAGCAAAATGAACGAGCCATCGATACTGACCATCAATACTGTTGATGACTTGTTTCGTATAATTAATCAATTAATGATGTGGGTGACGGTAGCATATTTACAATTATATTGTTATTTATGGTCGATATACACAGTCACCTCACCACCACCATCACCACAGAGCCGAAGACCCTCCACCCATGCCCCTGTGTTACTTGCTTTTGCAAGAAAGCGTACTATGTTTACAAATACACTCGCTGGCTTCATAAAGGCTTATGCTACATCACTTTAATGAAAGACCTACATTACAATTGTTTGCACCTGTGTTTGACAAACAGAAGTTAGAGAATTTAAAATTTTATGACCAAGGACTAAAAACAAAACCAGTGCCCAATTTGGGGGAACTCTTTTGCTTTTATGTTCTGTGTTGTCTCATTTTTGTCATTAGTGATTAGAAAGGCAGCATACCCTGAGACATCATGTGGTATTAGCAAATGCCTTCCTTAGGAAGTGCTTTATATGGGGTGTATGGTGTATTTATTCTGTATAAATAACAAATATCCTTTTACATACATGTGTATATACTTCTATACACTGGATGATTTCGTAGGTTATTTGGGGCTTGAAAGTGCTCAAAAACATTTCCATATAAATAAGTGCTGAGTCTTTGCCTTACACAATTTCAACTTACAGAAGGTTCATAGAGATGTTCAACTTTCAGCTAGAATGGGAAATCTGTATGAATTACAGATGGGTGTACAACAAAATTAGATTGAGACCGTCTACCTTCTCCTGAGGGGTAACTCTCCAAATGACCTAGAAGATTTAACTGTGTGCTTAAATTTCTAGGACAAGAATGAAGAAGAAAAGTGCTGGGCACAAAAGAAAAGAGCTTTGCTATATCCATTCAGAAAAGTTAATTAGCTTCAGTGGTTAGAGAGATATAAACTCCCTGGGAAATGGAAGAATTTCCCTTTGGATATTCCAAATCTCCCATAGAAAAAATCGTGTCACCTGCTTTATTTATATTAGTCTCAAAAGAAAACAATCATCTCTTTCTTTCACTTCCAAACACACAAAAAATATTGATGTAGCTTAGTTCAACTCTGAGACAAATGTCACTTTTTTTCAGTAAAATATTTTTAATCTAAAGAATATCAAAAATCAATTTAAAGATTTTGGTCATATTCAGAAGATTCAATGAAGGAAAAAATAGTAGTTTCTTTTTATTTATCTATGTTCCTTTTCCTTTTTTTCTTTACCATCTTTCTTCTATATTCTTATAACAATAAAAAAAAAAACCCTGTTCTGATAAAGACCATCCTTTGAGAGCTAAGGAAGCTGGCAGAAGCAGAGTCAGGACAAAGAGTGAATACTCAAGAGGAGCCCCAGGCATACTGGCCCCACCCAGCTTCACGCTGTCCTGGTTTCTGTTCTATCGCTCTCTATTTTTCTCACTCTTCTTTTGCACTCTTCTTTTTCTCACTATCTTTGTCTCCCACTCTTTCAAGTCTATTGACCTGGCTAAGAAAGACGAAGAAAGTTCTACCTCCTATCAATACCACAGCTAATACAATGTGATTTCGTATTTTTTAAATCTTAATTCCATGTGAATGGCAAAGAGATATTAGAGTACGGGTCAAAATAACATCCTAACGCCATCTCAGGCTTAATAATTTCTAATCACTTCCCAGTGCCCTGATATATTTACCATTGAGAAATATTTTATCTATATCAGATTATAAACGATATGTCTTCTTAAAGCACAAATAATCTATGATCTCAATCATTTTTGAGGTTAAAATGATTTTCTTTTTATATATTAAGCCTCAGGAGCCAGAAAGATAGTACAGTGGGTAGAGAGTTTGGCTTGCACAAATCTGACTCCATTTTAATACCTGACACCTCATGTGGTCACCTGAATCCAACAAAAGTGATTCCTGAGTGCAGTGCTAGTAGCCTTGAGAACAGCTGTGCATGGCACAAAACAGCCACAAATAAGAAAAATACCAAGTTTCAATCTGACTCATAATCTGATCATGGTTGGCAATTCAGTCTGTTACTCTTAACAGGAGCTGATTATTATAACTTGAATTTTCAAGGTAAAAACAATATTTCTGCAATGTTCCAAGTTTATTATTGGTCTCAAAATAAAAATTATATACAAAAATTTGTTGACTGCAGTTTACAAAGAACTCTCACCTATTTATCTCACTTAATACTTTAGACCCACAATGCAGCATGTTCCATATCTGAAAACTATCATGCTGATGAATTTAGGAAGTTGCCATAAGTAATGAACACCGGAGTTAGGACCTCATTTAGATCATTTAAATTTGAATCTCCCTTCTACTATCATTAATCTAATCCCATAAAGAGATGAAGCCTAAATCTGAAGCCTGAATATCAGTTTGGAAGAAAAACATTGCTGAAAATACACAACTTAATGAATTGGGAACAGTTCCATGTATTTCACAGTAGCATACTTTCGTTTTTCTAGTCTCACTAATTGGGAGGATAATCTTCCTTTATAAATGAGATTGGGCTTAACATTCATTTCTCAGTTTATGTGTCGGGGGAGTGGAGCAATATTACTCCCACGACCATTTGTGTGTCTCTGGCTTCTAGTCTATGATCTTACCACTAGACCTCCTCTCTCTTGTTTTCTCTCAAGGAGATTCTCCTTCCTGGGTAGTCACGCTGCCAGAAAAGCAGTCTATCAGATTTAATTCTCTCTTCCATCCCCAACCATCCGGTGCTTTAGCAAATGACCAAGTATTTGCCTAAATTTTGAATAATTTGCGTGTTTTGCATCCTCACCAACCCAGTTCCTACTACCGCCTCATTCAGGGTTTCGTAGACCTCAATAGACAAAAACCCCAGTCATTCTGGCTGTGTTGAAATTTTCCCCTTCTGAAATACTGTACCAAGAAAGTTTGTGAATGTCATATTGGTAAATCTCCTCTAACACTCCTACAATTTTTTAAAATTAATTCATTTGAAAGCTTTATTGAGATTATGTGATTTACAGTATTGTTAATAATTGTTTCCCATGACCATAATTCCAACAGTTTAACCATAAGAGGCGTGAGCCTTTAAACTCTGACATAAGTCATTCCCCAACCCTACTGAGTCCCTTCTACATCTTTGTACCACTATTTCCACTTGAGGATTATGCAATAATATAAACAAATATTTGTATTTCTTTCAACTAAAAAACTGTAAAATGCACATAAGCATTTTAAGTATACAGATAAATATGTTCATTTTGTTGTGAAACTAATCTTCATAACTTTTTTATCATGTAAAATTAAAATTCTACACCCCCTAAAATATTCCAGGGTTTCTATTTTCCTGACCTCTGCCTGCTATCACCATTATTTCTGGTTCTATTAAGTTGATTACTGTAAATTCTTGTATAGTTGTAATAATACAGTATTTGCCTCTTTGTGACCAATTTATTTCACTTGAGAGTAATGTCCTCCTGCACTTATTTGTGGAGTATAAGACAACGTAACATGAGGCTGACACCTAAGGTTAGTAGATACACGGGACAGATAGATTGCTCCATAGCTGGAATCTTGCCTCATGAGCAAAGGGGAGAAGGCAGCTGGAATAGAGAAGGGATCACTAAGAAAAAGATGGCTGGAGGAATCGGTCGGGATGGGAGATGGGTGCAGAAAGTAGATAAGGGACAAAAGATGATAACCTCTCAGGGTCCATATTGCAAACCATAATGCCCAAAAGTAGAGAGAGATTATGGGGAATCTTGTCTGCCATGGAGGCAGGGGGAGGGTGAGAAAGGGGGGGTATACAGGGGATATTGGTGGTGAGGAATGTGCACTGGTGGAGGGATGGGTGTTTGATCATTGTGTGATTGTAACCCAAACATGATAGCTTATAACTATCTCACAGTGATTTAATAATTTTTTTTAAAAAATGAGGAGATGAACACGATTAAAAAAGAGAGAGAGAGTAATGTCCTCAAGGTTTATCCATATTTGCATTGTCTTTTCTGGAAAGTTTTAAAAACTACAAGTTTGTGATGCTGAGTGCTCTCAAAGTATGTACTCACAAATCTAAACTCTTAATATTATATGGACATATTCTCTTTTGTATTCTTTCATTGAACAAAAGAATTTTGTAGTGATGGATACCATCTCGGACTTGGCCATTCTCTTATCTCCATTCTGATACATTTATGCATATGTGTGTATATAAAATATAAATGCACCACATATATGCTGTATTTATATGATAAAATAATCATCTTTGGATTAAATGAGGATTAAAACAGAAAAATTAATAAAATAGATATTATTTTCTTACTCTACCAAGGCATTTCTGCTGCTAAGTGTAAGTCAATACAAAAATTATGAACTCAGGGTCAAGATAAACACATAAACTCATAACTACATCAACTTCACACAAGTACTCAAGTTCTTAAGTATGGTATTGTACACTTCCCATCATTCCTTTTAAGAATCTATGCTTAAAATATAAACTGAATAAGATGCAGACCTTGAGATGCCATAAATTATTTTTATTAAAGAAACATTGGTCTACAAGAGTGCAAATATTTGTGTTTTTGAAGTACAATGCTTCTAACATGCTACTAGCAAGTATCAATATCCTTCTCCCACACTCCATCTGGTCTTTCTCAGTCATTCAAAACACCCACTTGGTAATCTCAGAACTGCCAAAAAATTCTGAGGTGATATTCACTAATATGTTCTATATTCTTTTACTTTGTTTTTTTTAGATAGCACATGTAAATTAGATCATCTGGTATTTGTCTTTCTCCTTTTATTTACTTTATTTATTACATTAAAAACCAGCTCCCGGAAGAAGAACAGTGCA